GATGGCTACTTTATGTTTTAAAATTGTGCTAATCATCCATTTGGACAGCAACAAAAGTATTCTCTCCTTTGTTGCCTGAGACACTTTTTGTCATGCTGAGGTATCAGCATGGAAGGGTTGTCAGGTCCAAAACTGAAGTTTGGTTCCACAGCCAAGACATTTTTTCCATGAGTAACTTGGTCAACAACTGAATTGTTCAAGATGGGAGACATTCGAGAAATGAGGTTTGACTGTTTTAGTATTACTTTCAATTTATGCCCTCTTTAAAATAGTAATTCTATTGATAAACATGGAATGTCTTCTCCATTCTTTAGAAAAGCTTTGTTTTTTCCACAAAGTTTTTTGTTAAATATAATTTCAAGATATGGTTTCTGCTGTTATTGTGATGGGATACTTTTCCTGTCATATTTTATAATTGTTGGTATACCAATTTTAATATACAACTGATTAAAATCATGAGGAATTTTGCTGACTAATTGTAATGATTTTGTTGCGTTTCTAGAAATAGTATTTTTTTTGGAATTATGGTTAATATACCTCTTTCTAATATTTTGGAAGCCGGACAACAAATGGGTCCAGACGGCCTGTCACTACATGAGCCAATTGAGCAGAGACAGGGTTGAACCATAATGAGTGTTCATTCCAATATTGCATGGGAGAGTAGTGGGTCATCCACGAAAATCTGCTCTAACCCCCACCCCTCCTCATAAACCAGCTGCTTATATTGAGTAGAAGGACAAAGATTACACAGGAAAGTAGGAATTACAGGCATGGGGAAGTAGGTGAGGTATAGTGGTTACAGGTTACAGGCAATGTGGGCTGGGGGTCAAAAAGGGCAGGTGCCTCAGGGATTCCATTGTTCCCAGGAACAGGCTGTTAATCTTTCCATGAAGATGGGAAGTTCTTGGAAAAGGATAGACTGCATTCCAAGGGTAATTCCCATGTCCTGGGGCATACAACTCCCAGCCAGGTTAGAAAGTGCTTTCTCTAATCAGAACAGAATAAAGCATAAAACCTTAATATTTCTTATAACTATAGCTAGTCCCCACTATTCTATTTCTTCCCTTAACATTTTAAAACTTAATTTTGTTTTTAAAAAGTATTACATTTTTTAGCACCACCAAGGTAACTCTTAATTATGGTGGTGACATCACCCTTACATTGTTCCTAACTTCAGTGGAAATGTTTCTAATTATTAAGCATGTTTGCTGATTCTTTTAGATTTCCTTTATCAAGTTAAGAGAATTATCTTCTGTGCCTATTTCATTGAGATTTTATTTCTACTTCATCTATCTTAAAGTGTTTTAAATCCTGTGTGTGTGCATGTATTCAAAGGCACTCTTTTTTTAAAAAAGGAATTATTGAATTATAATTAGCAATTAATATTTTTGAATTTGTAAAGACTTCACTTGTGGTCACTTGCTGGGGAGATTTTTTTAAATGTTTTATATCTTTTTAATACAGAATATCCTAGGCTGCATGAAGAATTCATGGAAGGATCTGAGGAATGCTCACAGAGACCGCAGGCTTCTGTAAACCTCAAGAGGGGCCACTAAGGTTGTCATCCCCCAGCTGCACGGTGCCCACTTCATGCTGTAAAAGGCAGCTTTTCAGAACTTGGATTTACAAGGCTTGAGAGTGTGGCATAGCTCCTAAGTGTCTCTTCATGAGGCCACATTTTCCTGATAAGAGCCCATCTGCTAGATTCAGCACTCACCTCCGCAAGATTCACAGGATCTCCCAGAACTGTGTTCCCATGAAGACTCCCTTACCAGGCCCTTCTCACCCCCAGAGCAGGGGTCCCTAGAGCTGCTCATTCTTGGGCACCGACTTGACCTCAGCCTAAGGCTACAGCTGAGGACTGAGCATCTGGCCCAGAACTGCTTCCCGAGTCGCCATGTGTCCAAGCCTCTCAGGTGGACCCATACACTCAACCTTCCCTTAGATGATCTCTAGTCTCTTGCCAAAACCTCTTTCCCTGTGTCTTCAGCAAAACCCCCTATATCTCAGCTTAACTGAATTTTTCCTTCATCCTCTGAATGTAACAGCAGTTTCCCTCCTTGCTGTGTTGTATTTATTTCAGCTCATTTCTCCTCTCCCCCTCTGCTGTATATGGGATGCATTAGTACTGTATTACCACTCAGGCCATGAGTTTTATTATTTATTTATTTATTTATTTATTTATTTATTTATTTATTTATTTATTTATTTATATCTTTGTTGTTGAAAGTATTACAGCGAAGCAGAGCACTCCCATTTCAACCTTTACAACTGCTACTTTGAAGATAAGCAGGAGCAACAAAATTTGGTAAACAATGACCTCTTCCCCTTCTCCTGGCTCTTCGTAAACTTTGTCAAAGGTTTCCACCCATAAAAATTCCAGGGAGTAAATTCCAGGGCATAGTTAACCACAAAAGTTAATGAACACTTATCTCAGCTTCTGTCTGCTGCTTCATTAGTCCCCCACCTGCTCCCTTAGCCAAACAGAATGTGGTTTTTGCCTTTATATTCTCCCTGCAAAGACTGTACGGGGCTGCGAGTCTGTTTAGGGCATGAGCCCCTAGTAGCCGCCTGCTTAATAAATTCCAAACGCTCAATTCAGTCTCTGTGTGAATTAATCTCTCAAAAACTGGGTATAACAACAGATGTCCCCTTTTTTCCCACCCCGCATCCACCCCACCCCCAGGCCTTCTCCATACCAATGTGTGTGTCCATGGGTTATGCTTATAAACATGTAAGTTCTTTGATTAATCTCTCACCACCTACTCCCCCACCCCACCTTCCCTCTGAGATCCCTCAGTCTTTTCCACGCTTCTATGTCTCTGGATCTATTTCGTTCATCAGGTTATTTTATTACATTCCACATATAAATGAGATCATGTGGTACTTGTTTTTCTCTGACTGGCTTATTTCACTTAACATAATACTCTCCAGTTCCATCCATGCTGTCCCAAAGGGTAAGAGATCCTTTTTCACAGCTGCATAGTATTCCCTGGTATAAATATCCCACAGCTTTTTATCCACTCATCAACTGATGGGCACTTGGGCTGTTTCCAGATCTTAGTTATTGTAAATTGCACTGCAATGAACATAGGGGTGCATAAGTTTTTTCTGATTAGTGTTTCAGGATTCTTAGGATATATTCCTAGAAGTGGGATCACTGGGTCAAATGGCAGCTCCATTTTTAATTTTTTGAGGAACCTCCACACTGTTTTCCACAGTGGCTGCACCAGTCTGCATTCCCACCAGCAGTGCATCAGGGTTCCCCTTTCTCCACACCCTCGCCAGCACATGTCATTTGTTGATTTGTTGATGCAGCCATTCTGACAGGTGTGAAGTGATACCTCATTGTGGTTTTAATTTGCATCTCTGATGATTAGTGACTTTGAGTATTTTTCCATATGTCTCTCGGTCATCTGTATGTCCTCTTTGGAGAAGTGTCTATTTAGGTCCTTTGCCCATTTTTCAATCGGATTGTCTTCCTCTTGTTAAGTTGTATCAGTTCCTTATATATTTTGGATACTAACCCTTTATCAGATGTGTCATTGGCAAATACGTTCTCCCATATAGTGGGCTCCTTTTTCGTTTTGTTGATGGTTCCTTTTGCTGTGCAGAAGCTTTTAATTTTGATGTAGTCCCATTTGTTTATTTTCTCCTTTGTTTCTCTTGCTCTAGATGTATTGGCAACCGTTGCTATAAGAGATGTCTATGATTTTGCTGCCTATGTTTTCTTCTAGGATTTTTATGGTTTTACAACTTACATTTTAAGTCTTTTATCCATTTTGAGTTTATTTCTGTGTATGGTATAAGTTGGTGGTCTAGTTTCATTTTTTTGCATGTGCCTGTCCAATTTTCCCAACACCATTTATTGAAGAGGCTGTCTTCACTCCATTGTATGCTCTTGCCCACTTGATCCCTCCAACTTTGTTCGTCTTTCTCAAGATTGCCATGGGTATTCGGGGTCAGGCCATGAGTTTTAGAATATCCAGTAAAATGGTGACAGACCCCCTAAGAGTTTGGCCTTGAAGCCAGTTCCAAGAGCTAACAAACACCTTGGGTTTTCAAATGCACCAGTTATATAAGGTATTAACATGAGGGGGAGAGCATATGGGAATTCTCTGTCTTTACAACTTCTACAAGTTGAAAATTATCCCAAAATAAACCTTAACTAAAAAAAAAAAGGACTTTGGATTTTCTCCTTTTGGGGAAATGACTGCATTTGGTATCTGGTCTTGGCTTTAGAGTATTATAGTTGCTATGTTGGGTAAAATGTTGTCAAAGTGCAAATATGATAAATAGAGTATATCTGGGCATTGGGCAGCCATAGTGCTGGTAGACTGGTAGAGGGCTTTGTATCCTCATTTTGTTTTCAAGGATGTTTTCCTTCCTAATTTTAAGTTTTCCTGTGTGAGCCTTGGCTGGGAGCACCTACTACTGAAGCTGAGGGGCCAGACTCTCATATCCTGGCATTGATGTCGTGGGCATGTCACCTAGTTGGCAAATCAAAACGCACAGCCACACCTACACATGGCATTCTGAGCCTCAAGAAGACACACTCCCTCAGGGACAGCGGGGACATTTTCCGATGGTGGCATTATGGTAGAGCCAGGGGACGTGGTGATGCCAGCAACAAAGCAAGGGATGCTCCACGCCAGGCCTCACTGGAGCAGGCCCTGGCTGCTGGCTGCTCCCTGGCTTCCATTGGTTCCAAGCCTGTTTCTCCAGCCTTCCCACTGACCTAGTAGGATACTCTCTTTCCTTCTAACAAACTCCTCTTTGGGTGTTAGTTAGCCTGATTGCTGTTCTTTTGCTTGTAATTAAGAACTCTGAATGATACACCCACACCAGTCAGGGCTTCTGAGTGGACTAAGTCCAGGGGCACTACTGTCAAAAAATACAAAACAGCCTCCCTATAGCTATGTCACGTGGTGCCATGGAACCCACCTACACGACAGCAAGAACTATTTATTCATGTGTCTACAGCACACTGCACAAGAATAGGAAGGTAAAATATATTTACTTAAGTGTGTGAGCAACAAAAACCATCCTGTCACAACCCCAGCACTTCACGGGTGGGCTTTCTAGTCCCCACCGCGCACTCTCCCTCCCGCCACTTACTATCTGAATAGCCCTGGGCAGGTTGTGAGGCAGCTGGCACTCGGGCCAACAACAGGTTAATGACTCTCCTGCTACATTTCCTGTTCCTTGTCTGAAAAACAGACAATCACACCTGCTTTATTGGTTTGCTGTGACAATTTAAATAAACTCACATAACACAGTGCCCAGCCCTAGAAGGCATTTGAAAATTACTACGCCCTTTCCCAACGTTGAAAAAATAGTCTCCCTATAGTCTTTAGTCTTTGTATGTATACAAGCGCTTCACCAAAGTGAGATGATCTTCAACCGATGCAGTCGCCTTGGCCTCGTTGCACTTGGAAGTAATATGACCTTAGAATGCTCGTGCCAGCGCTTCTGGCTTCCACGCCCACGATGCTCGTGCTGTCACTTTCCACCTGGGTAAATCCACTGAGAAGGGAAGGACATGCTGCGTGTTAACTTGAGACAAGGACAGATGGTAGGGAACTGGGCCTTCACATGTAACCTCATACCACCTCCACCCAACCGCCCAGCCATGCTCAAGGACCTACATTCATGTGAAACAATTAGCAAATACCATCACATCTGCAGGGGGAATATCAGCTTTGGACCCTCCTGAGAGTATCTGCCTTGAATCAGTGACCTCGGCTACTCTGGAAGCTTCTGAGACAGGATGGGGGGTGCCTAATCCAATTTTGGCAGATCAGAGTCGCTTCCCCAGAATTTAGAATCATCAGTTGCTGTTCAGTCTTGGTGAAAATGTGAATACAGCAGCTAATGGGGCAGCCAGTTTCCGTGATGTTAACCTGTGTTTGCCTAGCCTTAGACACACATACAATGTGCTGTTCTGAGGCATTAGAGAAAAATGAAACAGGCATGTAGAAAACCAAACCAAACCAAGCAAAAAACAAACAAACCAGAGAAGAAACTTGAGTTTTCTATAAAAGCCCAGAGGTGGGCTACAGATCCCTTCTGAAAGGCTGCCGCTTTGGCCTTCATGAAATACCTTTCAGCTTAAACTCCATGCTGACTTACTGTTTCTTTAAGTAGCAACTAAAGTTCTATTCAACTTAGAAATTAATAGCAATAGTGGAATGTGGCAGTTTCCAGACTCTCAGAAAACTGTAGCATTGGCTGGTCTATACAGGGGCTGAGCAGCGGGCGGCTGCTCCCCGACTGGCCAGCCAGCCAGCGATCACTGTGGTTTTTTGGGCAAAGAAAGTTGAATTTGCATCTGTTTTCTCTCTTCAGAGAATTCTTCCTCTTAGTCTTTTTTCTTCAGTTGATTTTTAGTAAATTTGCAGAGTGGTGCGACCATCACCACGATCCAGTTTTATAATATTTCCATCACTCCAAAAAGATCTGTTGTACCTTTACCTGTAGTGAATCCCATCCTACTCTCAGCCGTGGGCAGCCACTAAATTATCTTCTGTTCCTACAGACTTGCCTCTTGATGTCATATAAATGGAATCATATAGCACGTATCTTACACATCTGGCTTCTTTCATGTAGCACAATGTCTCTGCATTTCACCCATGTCAAGTGTATGTCAATGTGCCATTCCTTTATATAGTTGAGTAATATTCACCTGTATGGATGTACCACAGTGAATTTATCCACATACTGGCTGGCATTTGCAGTTTGCACTTTTTGGGATGAGTAAAGCTGCTAAGAACATCCCCGTGCAAGTCTCTGTGTAGGTGTGTGTCTATTTCTCTTGGGTAGATAGGAACATTCACATAGTCTTGGTGTAGATGAGTTTATTTCCTTAGGTATATAAAAACATTCCTGTAAGGTCTTTGTGCAGACATATGTCTGTTTCTCTTGGGTAGATCCTAAGGGCATGCTGCTAGGTTCCTGGCAAATTTATGTCTAATACACATTTTCTTTGAAGAATCAGAATTCGTATTCAGAGGAAACTAAAGAGTTTCTAGAAAGTTTTTGTTATCTCTTGCAGCATTCACCAAGGTGCCAAAAAAGAGACAAAATGTTGCACATCTGGGAACTTACAGGGAACAGCAACATAAAATTTAAGTTGAATCTCTACTAATTCTTAATCTTACCAGAAAACTGCATTTATTTACTGAAAAGAACTAAGATTCTCCTGTATTAGGAATTAGCTTTAATAACTGTCTTCAAACAACTACTGATTTACAATTCAGAAAGTATGTAGTTTTGTTACAGAAACCTGTAATTTCTGAAATATTTGGTTTGGGGCATCGTATTTTTTCATTTAAGACTGTAAGATGTTTCATGGACACCGACAAGTGTGGTGACTGTCGGTGGGGCAAGAGAGGTGGGTGGAGGTGGAAGAGGGCATGGGGGTAAATAGTGATGAAAAAAATTAAAATAAAATTTAAAAATAAATAAAAGATTATGTTTGTCACAGGAGGCTGAATTTACCCCACACCTCATGACAAGAAACTGACAATTATTCCAAATGGAATATAAAATCTGGAAGCCCTGTCCTCTCTGTAACACTCTGGCAAGAAAGAACGTAAGTGGTTCCAAAATACTAATTTAAAAGCACAATGCAAAACAGATTCTTTCGGACTCTCACAATCTTGCCCCCACTGACTCCCACCACCACCAGGGTTGGTAAATGAATTCAGGACTGTGTGGGTTATGGAGGGAGGGCGAGAGCTGGTCTGCAAGGCTGTGTCAGGGCCCACCCCAGGCCTCAGTGGGCACCCCTGTGGGACTTCAGGTAAAATAGCCACAACTTTGCACCCCCATTTCACCTGGGCAGTGTGGCGCTCCAGTGTGGGTGGCCTTGTACACTCAAGGAGACCATGCGGAGGACGCAGAGCATCTTTCCTTTTTTAAGAGGAGGAAATAGATCTGACCAGTGACTTTCGTTGGGCCCCCAAGTAGTGAGGGGCAGGTTGGGCTAGGATCCCAAGTCCCAGTCACCTCCTTTCCAGGGTATCCTTAAAGAGGTACTGCTGGGAGGCCAGGAGAGGCCATCTCACAGGCGAAGTGAAGCGATCAGATGCAATTACCTGGCCCACCGGTGGGAGCCCCCAAGCAAGTGACAGCAGCTCTTGAGGACGGGAAACTTACTGCCCTTTTTCCACAGGTAGACTCGCAAGGAGAGGTCGAAAGAAGAGGTGATGACTCGGCTCTGGTCCTTGAAATGAAAAGCTCCGTGAGGTGGGGCTGTGGCTCCCGAGACAGCTCCTCGAGTCAGGCGGGGCGAAGGCTGCACTCACCATGCACATGGCCGTGATGGGCTTCTGGTGGTCCTGGAAGGCTGCCAGCTGCAGGCCGTGTATGGTGAATAGCACCAGCTCGGACCCGGATGCCAGCAGAACCACTTGGGAGCCGTGGCCCTTCATGAGGTGAGGAGGTATCATGGTGTCTGGTAGGACGAAACTTGCGGCCTGTTGTACTTTTTGAAATAAACACACAGATTGTCATTTCTTTTTTTTTATTCAGATTGTCATTTCTTGATAGCAGCTGGAGTGTGGGACAGGCCTGCCTCTCCTAAGGTGATGCAGTACATTGAAAAGAGCAACACTTCACAGTTACACCAGCATTCAAGGCTGAACCACGCGTTCCCTCCCTAAACCGCCCACTCTGGCTCTCCCGTCAAGCCCAATCCTTACTTACAGGGGACACTGTGCATGTGGAAGTGACAGTGTCTGGCACAAGTATCATCCAGGGAATGGGGAGAATTAATACCCTTCCTTCTACCCTTCCCTGCCTATGACGGGGTGATGGAAAAATGGCCACGTGAGAACTAAGACGTTTACATCTGCCAAAAACTATTGTTGAAGACATAGTCTTTTACACCATATAGCATTCCTTGTTTATGAAAAGAAAAAAATCAAGTTGATCACTTCCTAATAGTTTAGCACCAGGAAGAAAAAATTACCTCTTTTGAAAAATTCATGCACTTTCTCATATCAGACAAGGGATTATTATACATCCTGTTTTCCCTTTTTCCTTGGCTACCAGGAAGCTCAGAATAAAATTAAGGTCAAATGATGATATGAAAGCAAATGAACATAATGCCAAGGAAAAAATGCTAAAGACCATAGGAGAGGCCTGTCAAGAGTGCTGCGGGGTTTAGGAAACAGGGAAGTGGGTCTTATTTTCCTACTGGAGTAGGGGCCTCAGGTAAGAGAAGAGCTGCGGCTTTTACTCACCTTAGCATGCACTCACTGCGGGAACAGTGCCTCTGATGCAGTTGTGAAAAGGGAGGTAGGGACGAATGGAAGTGGGGAAATGAGTTAGGAGAGAGCAGACTGTAAGCCAACAGGAGTTGATGTCTGCAGTGTCGGGGCTACACAGAGGGCCTGACACTGCAGAAGCTCAGTGCCCAACCAGTAAGTAAAATCACAGACGAGGAAACAGTTGAGTCACTGTATTCACCGAGAGGAAAGAAAAAGTGCCCTAAAGAAAACGTGAGGAACCTGCGCTTGCAGCATCCTATGCAATCCTACAGGTCCTGACATGGGATCCTTACCCAGAATGTTTTGTGCGTCCCTGGAGTTCTTAGCCCCTAGATCATAGGTGGTGACCACCAACTGCACTCCATTGTCATTTCTGTGCATCACCACCAGCCTGGCTGCCTCATCAGGGGCCCAGCAGGCTCTGGAAGTCAGACAGATGGGGAGAGCGGTGGAGACAGGAGGCTCATTTTCCAATGGACACAGCAAGGAGTGCGTGTGGAACACCTGGGGAAGACCACCACACAGTCTCATCGCCGATGACAGGACACTTCAACCCAGGAGTGCTCTGAAAGCCCCTGCTGGCAGCTCTTCCCAGGGACCCACACCCACACCCATACCCACAGTGTGCTCTTTCTGCTGGGCCTTATCCGGGTAAGGAAGCTGTCCCACTGTGTCAGCATCTCCTCATGCCTGATCTGAACACTCCCATCCTCACTCACTCAAGCCACCAAATGTCTTATGACATTCCATGGACATGTCCCTAAGGCCCCAAGCCCCTTCAGAACTAACTCTGCCCTCTCTAGCCAGGCAACTAACCCCTTCTGGCCTGTGGGCAACAGAGCAGCTTGGAAAGAGCCGAGGCTCTGGACAGAGGCCAGCACCACCACTGCCCAGCTAGTGGCCCTGAGTGGCCGCAGACTTAGTCCTATACGAGAAGCCACCCTCCCAGACGCATTTGGCAAGACTGGGCACAGCATCCACTACCTGTGCACACTAAGCCTGGCCCTTGGGACAAGGGACACAGCCCAGCACTGACCTTGGGGCTCAGATCTGAGTCCTGTGCCAATGCGAACACCCACTTGCAGTCAGGAGAGCACAGCAGACTGGTGGGGTGGTTCGGGAACACGCTCACCCTGGACAGCAGCTGCAGCCCGGGCACCGTCAGCGTGCAGAGTGCTCCGTCGGCACAGGCCGCCTGCAACGCAACGCTGCAGTGACCATCTGTGTCCTCATGCTCTCGCCCAAGGAACAGGTGGCAACTGTGTAACTACTTCCTTGCTGGGGCAAAATGCCACTTATTAGGTCAAAAGTAATGAATTCACTCAAACAATTCCAGAGCAAACCCTCTCTTCCCTCCACACAGAAGCAGAAGTGTGGCCGCTGGCACCCTTGCTATCCATCATCCTCAAATGCCATTCTGCAGCCTGCCCTGCCTTTTCTGTTTCCAAATAGTCTTTGGAAATCTTTCCACGTCAGAGGACATTTCTCCATGACTTTTTACTTCCTCTCATTACGATGGAAATTTAAGTTGTTTACAGATTTCATTACCACGAGCAATCTTTGTGCAGCAATGCCAATATTTCCTCCTAAGAGATCCCTAGAACTGGAATCATTAGCTTCAAAGAGTATCAGACTTAAAACTTAAGAGGGAAAAAAACAAGTTTTTAAAAAATTTTTCAATCTATATTCTTATTTGCCATGTATAAAAATGTTTTTCATCGAACTTATTATAATACCAATTTTTAAAATGTTTCTCATCCAGTAGGGGAAAAGCCTTGTGGTGTCACTGTCTTGGTTACGGGTTGGGATTCACACCTTTATATATATATTACTGGCCATTTGTAATTTTCTCTATGAACTGACTACTCATATCTTCACCTGTTTTTCTACTAAATTGCTACGCTTCAAACAACCAGATATTAATGCTTTGTTCAATAAGATACAGTGTCTTAATTTTATAATACTCTACAGTTCAGACGCTTTTAATTTTTTAGGTAAATCTGTGTATTTTTTCAATTCCAGGTTTTATCTTGCCTATTAGGCCAGGAGCATCCCAGGTTGATTTTAAAAACCACTTATATATTCCCCAGATAATTTTATAACTGCCTTTTACATTTAGTTTTAATTATTCTAAATGTGTTTCTACAGATGAAGTGATGTGGGAATGGCTTCATTTCTCTTCCCTAACGGCCAAGTGCTCCACTTCCTAACAGCCTGTCCTGCACCTACTGCTTTAAAAGAACATTGTTCCACAGACATGTGCCCATGGAACACAGCCTGGACTTTCTGTTCAACTGATGTAAAAACACCTATTCTTACTGTCAAGAAAACATAAAAACTTCAAAACGCACAGAAAATGACAACATTCAAACAAGGTCATGAAAAGAAAAAGTGAGAAGCAACACATTTTAGCTGGTAAAACTGTCCCAAAGGACAACCAGGAATCTGAGATCTGTAGCCACATGGACAGGGGTTAGATGTCATAAAATAAGCATCTGAACGGACACCCTGAATTCAACATTCAGAAAGGAAATGGACAAAAACACACACCAAGATATGAAATAAGAGCTAAATTAATTCAGGAAAGATACTGATAGAGAAGTCTCCTCGCCTGCCTGGAGTGGCTCGGCCAGCAGAGCGTCGTCCCGTGCACCGAGAGGTCCGGGCCCAGGCCAGGCTGCGGGTTCAGTCTCTGGTCAAGGTGCCATGTAGAAGGCGACCGATAGATGTTTCTCTCTCTCCCTTCCTCTCTCGCTAAAAAAATATATCAATAAAAACATATATCTTCAAAAATGAAGATAATAAACTGGAGACAGAAAACACTTCACTGAACAAACAAGGGCAGGGAGGGGAGGGAAGGGAAAGACAAAAGGAGAGAGGAGAAGCAGAATGAAAGGCTAAAATGATCGCAAAGCATCCGAGAAGACAGGCAAGAAGATCTAATAAGCATGAATGAAGTTCCTAAAGGAAAACTTCATTAATGGATTAATATTTAAAATTCATATACAGTGAAACTTTCTAGAAATAAAAGGTCTGAGCTTGTGTACTGAAAGGCTCATATGTTCTTGGGAAAGCTGACGCAGGATGACCACTGCAGGCATGTCACAATAAAACTAGACTTCAGATATTTCAAAATATCTTTAAGGCTTTTGCTTTTAAAAATTGAAGTGTCTAACAAGAAAAGTCAGCGTACCAGTAGACTTTTCAACAGAAACATAAACAGGGAAATAACATTTTCACAAAATTCAAGAGACATGTGAGCAGGGGTCTGGTGCCCAGCCAGGCCATCCTTCCGCATCAAGACTACAGAGAAGGGGAGCCTCGCCGACTCATGGAATATCAAATACAGGATTTCTTCATGGATCCTTTATGGTCTTGCTCCTCAAAGGGACTGGAAGCACCAAGATTCCCAAGAAGCCTGTTAAAAAGTCAGCATCTCAGGAATCCCCAGGGACCAACTGAATCAGAAGCTGCCTTCACACATGAGCCGCGGGTGATTCGCGGCCTGTGTCCCAGTGATGTCTAAGCAGCTCTGGCCCAGTCTCTTGCCCTCTCTTCCGCACTTACCACTCTGGAATCCCTGTTTCGTTCTCAACCATTCCTTTTATCTGTCACTTCACTAATTCTCTTCCATATTCTAACTTTTTAATTGATATATATAACATGCATATGGCAAATTGCACAGAACATAAATGTAGAGCTCAATAAATTATTAAAAAGAAAATATTCATGTCACCACTTAAACTAAGAAGCAGAACTCGCCAGTGCCCACAAGCTCCACTTGCCTCCCCAATCTCTGTGGTTCCACTGTCCACCCTGCTATCAAATCCATTCACTGACCTCTTGACCTTTGGTATTCAGTTTTTCTGTTCTAGAGTTTCTACTTGGTTCTTTTCTAAATCACTATGTCATTTTTTATAGCTTTTAAAAAAATTTTATTGAATTTATTGGGGTGACATTGGTTAATAAAATTATATGGGTTTCAGGGATACAATCCTATATACATCATCTGTATATTGTATTGACTTGACCCAAAGTCAAGTCTCCTTCCATCACCATTTATTCCCCCTTAACCCTCTCCTACCTCCCCCCACAACCCGTCCCTGCGGGTAAGCACCATGCTGTTGTCTGTGTCTATGTCATTTTTCATAGTTTTAAGTTCTCTGCTGAGCTTTATCTCCCTGATCATAGCACACACTGGTGTCTCAGTGTCCGTGTCTAACAGCCGCATTATCTGAAGCCTCTGTGGCTCTCTCAACATGGTCTGCTCTTTATCCTGCCAGTCCTAGTTGGTACTATTTTTTTTAATTCCTACCCAAGGATACGTTTTTATTGATTTGAGAGAGAGAGGAAGGTAGAGGGAGAGAGAAACATTGATGTGAGAGAGAAACGGTTGCTTCCCATTCACGCCCCAACCGGGGATCAAACTTGAAACCCAGGTACATGCCCCCACCAGGACNGGTTGCTTCCCATTCACACCCCAACCGGGGATCAAACTTGAAACCCAGGTACATGCCCCCACCAGGACCTGAACCTGCCACCTTTTGGTGTACAGGACGACGCTCCAACAAACCGAGACACCTGGCCAGGGCTAGTTGGTACTATTCTTATCCCCTAGTTAGCTATAAGTGTGTGCTGAATGCTATATCTGAAAAGAGAAGTAATGTGAGGTCTGGGATAACGTTATCATTTTCCAGAAAGGATATTCGTTTACTCCGACCAGGTGACAGGAGTGCTAAGCTGCAGCAGGTGCAAGGACTGTTTCTTCCAGCCCAGATTTACTGTGAGATTGCAACACTGATAATCCGCCCAATGCTCCAACACTTCAGGGCGCTGTACTCCAGCTTTCTTGTGCCCTTGGCTTGGAGACAGCTAACACCTGTTAGGGGCAGAGATGTTGACCATGCTCTGTAGACTGATTGTTAGCTATAGTTATAAGAAATATTGATCATGCTCTGTTAACTGTGATTGTTCTGTTCGAATTAGAAAAAGCACTTTCTAACCGGGCTGAGAGTTGTATGCCCCAGGACATGGGAATTACCCTTGGAATGTGGTCTATTCTCCTTATCTGAGAACTGCCCATCATCATGGAAAGATTAACAACCTTGTTCCCTAAACAACGGAGTCCTGGAGGCACCAGCCCTTTGAGACCCTCAGCCCACCTTGCCTACTTCCCTGTGCCTATAATTCCTACTTTCCCATGTAATCTTTGACCTTCTACCCAATATAGGCAGCTGGCTTGGGGGGGTGGGGGCAGCAGAGCAGATTTTCATGGATGAACATTATTGCTCTCCCAATTTGCTGGCAATACTGGAATAAATGCTCATTTATGATTCAACCCTGTCTCTGCTTAATTGGCTCAAGTAGTGACAGGCAGCCAGGACCCATTGTTGTCTGGTTTCACACCCACAGACGCTCCTGAGAGCCCATCACTCACCAGCAGGAGGGGGCCCTCCGGATGGTCACAGGCCTCCAACGCAGACGAGTGTGTAGGTAGGCAGAAGGAAGCTGACTCCAACCCATTCGCTGCTTCCCACACTTTGATTAGTCCCTGCTCGTCCACAGTGACAACCAGCTGCAGCTGAGGGTAAGTTACCAAATTCACCAGAGCAGCAGGCTGTAGAGGACTCGACCAGATCTCTGTGCCCTGGGCAATGACAAAATTAATATAACAACTAATATAGGGCCCATTTATTTCATAAACGCACATTCTTTCCATTCAGCCCTCACCCCGCACATACTGGGACATGCAGGTGAAAAGGGCTCCATCCCCACCCTCACAGGACTAACAGCATGGCAGAGAATACCACGGAGGTGGCTCAGTGTGGGTGTATGGAGACTTCTGCAGGGCTGGGTGGCATCACCAGGTGGACCAAGGGTGGGGTCCTGCATGCACACTGGCCAGTATGTTTGCTGCACTTCCAGTGGTGACCTGGAGCTCAGCTGAGGAAGGCTGGGTAGGGAGGCAGGATCCAACACTACACAGCCAGCTGGGACCCGGCCACCCATGGCTGCACACAAAACCTCCACAGGGAGAGAGTATCTCGCTCCGTCCTGGGTAGTCGGTTTCACAGATAAGCTAATGGGGCTTGTGGATATGAATGGTTTGTGTTGCATTCTGCAGCTGCCTTGACCTGAACACTGCTTCCCGACGGTTATCCCAGGAGCACCACCACTGCCAGCCCTGGCTCTGGCCCAGGCCCACACCCAGAAGAAACAAAGGGCCCAAGCTTGGTGGATTCCATGGGCTCTTCCCAGGATTCTGAGAACTGGATTGGAGAGGTCAAAAGCCTTAGTGCCAGGGGCCCACGGTACATTAAGACAGCATCTAAGAACCAATCCACTAGCCACTGTTTCCAAGTCTCCTAGAGCTAACACACAAGGTTTCTTTCCAATCTGGGGTTACTGTGATCCTTTTTCTACCATATGTTATCTCTTTACCATGGTCTCTATCTCTTTTTCCACCTATAAGATCTCAGTATTCTTCCACTAGTTTCTTTCTTCCCTTCAGGTCAACAAGTCAGCAGTGGATTTCTGGTGCTCAGCTCTATGCCATCACCAGGATGGAGCTCAGGCCTGTTGCTGGGCCAATGTCGAGATTCAGAAGACACAGGGCATTTACCAGTGGTTAGTGGCATGAAGTGAGCAAAGGAGCAGTTAAACTCCCCTTCCTATTTCAGAATGGGAACCAGCAGCCAGCAGAACAGGGCAGGAAGATGCTGACCAGTGACACCCCGGGGCCCGGACTCCATTGGATGTGGCATGGAAAAGAGAGACGTGGGGCTGGGGCAGTTGGAGGCTGCTGGTGGTACCAGGTACTTGAATGCTAGAAAAAGACAAACTCAAGCCCTAGAATTCTTCAGGGAACAGTGAATAAAACATGGAGACAAATATTGTGAGTACACTGAAAACTAACAAAATGTTTTAAAAGAATAATAATTGACTGCAGGAAAAGCAAATGTTAGTTTACCTCATGGCCCGTGAAAAGCATTGATGTAATTATAATAATATAAACAATATATGCCCTTATTCTGGGACAGCAAGGTTACTCTGTGCGGAGGCAGGAGGAGAAAAGCAAAACCATTACCCCCTAATTTGGGGAACATCATTTCCTCTGGCGTTGGGGAAACAGGAGTGGCACGATTGACTGGGTTTTTTTTAACAAGCCTTTCAAATCTCTGACCCTTAGGCTGTGTAATGCTGCAGTGTTGGTGGCATCCCGACCTGTCACTAATCTGTAAGGTGACTGCAAAATGTCGCCATGCTTTCATTTATTTTTTTCAAAAAGACTGTCATGACTTTTCCAAATAAATAAATATTTTTAAAATGTATTCCTGAATATAGACCCCAAAAATGTTAAATAAATAATGGAAAAATGATGACAAAACTTATATAGAATCCAGTGATTCTATACAAAAAGACTCACCCACAGTGAGCGTGGGAAGGACTGCTCCGCAGCCAGAAGCAAGGGGAGGGCACCGCGCTGGCAAAGGCAGTGCTAAGGCACTAAACTTGACAGTTTAGAAGAAACAATTTTCTAGCAAAATATAAGTGATTCAACTTGACAAGAACAAGTAAAAACCTGGAGAGAAGAGGAGCTATAGAGGGAACTGAAAAGGCAGAGACAAAAGGCCCAGCTACTTCACCAACGGCTCAATCCACCTCTTAAGAAATGTGTAATTCCTATAATATTCCTTTTATTATTTCAGGTTATAAAAAATGTTAGAAAGCTCTCTGATGCATTCTGTAAAACTAGCAACAAAACAAAATATAGACATATATAACATGAATAGAGATTAGAAGTGTTTAAGTATGATTATTCAGAGCCCTAGCAATATATTAAATATATGTGTGTGTGACACATGCATATGTATATGGGCAACACAGTGCAATGATCTGTTAGGGTTGGTTCCAGAAATGCAAGGACAGTTCAAATAATTTATTATATTTTCAAGTTAAAACTGGGAGCCATAGAAAATAATGAATAAATGCCCCCAAATTAATGGAACCTGTTGCCATATTTCGACAGCCATTCCTGACTTTTAAAGTCTCTATGCCCATCTGGGCGTGGCTCAGCAGCTGAGCATCGACCTAGATCCAGGAGATCTCAGTTCGATTCCCGGTCAGGGCACATGCCCGGGTTGCGGGCTCGATCCCCAGGGGGGGCGTGCAGGAGGCAGCCGATCAATGACTCTCTCATCATTGATGCTTCTATCTCTCTCCCTCCCTCTCCCTTCCTCTCTCTGAAATCAATAAAAATATATTTTTTAAAAATACATATAAAATCTCTAAGTAACATCTCTCTAAATACTAGATAATATTTGCCAGACACTGAAAGCAAATATCAAATTCAAAAGAGATCTGCACAGCAAAGGAAACAACAGAATAAAAAGGCAATATATTGAATGGGAGAAAATATTCACAAACTATCAGATAAAGGGTTAATTTCCAAAATACGTAAGGAGCTCCTGTAACTCAAGACCAAAATAAAACAACCTGATTTAAAAATGGGCTAACATCTTGAACAGATATTTCTCTAAGACATTCAAATGCCCAACAGTGCTTAACGTGACTAATCATCAGGGAAATGCAAATCAGAACCACAATGAGATACCATCTCACACCTGTCAGAATGGCTGTTCTAAAAAAATAACAAGTGTTGGTGAGATGTGGAGAAATCAGAACTCTTGTGCACTGTTGGTGGGAATGTGAATTGGTGCAGCCACTGCACAAAATAGCATGGAGGTTCCTCAAAAAATTAAAATACAATCCAGCAATCCCACTTCTAGGTATTTTTTCTAAGAATTGAAATCAAGATCTTGAAGAATCCACACTCCCATGCTCACTACAGCATTATTCACAAGAGTTAAGGCATGGAAACAACTTAAATGCCCATCGATGGATGAATAAAGAAAATGTTCAGCCTTTAAAAAGAAGGAAATCCTACAACATGTGACAACATGGATGAATCTTAAGGACATTATGCTAAGTGAAATAAGCCCATCACAGAAGGGGAAATACTGTAGGATTCCACTTCTATAAGGTACTAAAATAGTCGAACTCATAGAGGCAGAGAGCAGACTGGTTGCTGCTTGCCAGGGGTTGGGAAGGAAAACAGGAGCTGCTGGCAGGCGGGTATAAAGTTTTAGTCATGCAGGACAAATGAGTTCTGGAGATTGGCCAAGCAGCACTGGGTCTATGGTTACTGTGCACTTAAAAATCTGGTCAGTCACACCTGTCAGAATGGCTCCATCAACAAATCAACAAATGACACATGCTGGCGAGGGTGTGGAGAAAGGGGAGCCCTGGTTCACTGCTGGTGGGAGTGCAGACTGGTGCAGCCACTATGGAAAGCAGTATGGAGGTTCCTCAAAAAATTAAAAATGGAGCTTCCATTTGACCCAGTGATCCCACTTCTAGGAATATATCCTAAGAAACCCAAAACACCAATCAGAAAGAATATATGCACCCCTATGTTCATAGCAGCACAATTTACAGTAGCTAAGATCTGGGAACAGCCCCAGTGCCCATCAGTAGGTGAGTGGATAAAAAAGCTGTAGGACATTCACACCATGGAATACTATGCAGCTGTAAAGAAGAAGGATCTCATACAATTTGGGACAGTATGGATGGATCTGGAGAGTATTATGCTAAGAGAAATAAGCCAGGCAGAGAAAGACAAACATCACATCATCTCACTTATATGTGGAATCTAAAGAACTTAATAAACTGATGAACAGAATAGATTCCGTGACATAGAAGCATGGATCAGACTGACGATTCTCAGAGGGAAGGTGGGGGTGGAGAGATTAACCAAAGAATTTATATGCATATATGCACAACCCAAGGACACAGACAATGGTGTGGTGAGGGACTGGGGAGGAAGGTGGGAGGGGCAGAAGGGGACAATGGGGAGAAAAAGGGACATCTGTAATATTTTGGACAATAAAAAAAAATCTGGTCAGAGGGTAGATCTCATGTTAAGTGTTCTTATCACAATAAAATAAAAATCAAGAGACAAAAACTAAAGGCATACTTAGAAAAGAATCAGGAACAAAACAGAAATGCCCACCCCTACTAATCAATATGATGTTAGAAGCCCTAGCTAATGAGTAAGGACTGAAAATAACAAACACAAATATTTGAAAATACATTATTTTCAGGTGATATAATTTTAAATATAGAACACCTAAAAAACTATTGTAACTGGATAATGTAAGATACAAATACAAAAATCAGTAGTTTTCCTTCATACTCACAGTATCAAGATAGAAACAGAAATAGAAAAAATATCCCATTCTTATGCTATTACTAGCGTATTACTTAGAGGCTTCTCAGCTATTATTCACAACAAAATGAATCCTCTACACCTCATGTTAAACTTACTCTCTTCACAAAGACTTGACTTACCAACATAAGAACTGAACAAACACAAATAGCCCATGATTCTCAATAGGAAGACTTAATACACTATAAAACGTCAGCCCTTTCCAAAATGATTTATAAAAGTAATGCACATCAATCAGAATACATTTGATTGTTTTAGATGTCAAAACAATGGTTCCGGGTTCACGGGGAAGAATGACTGTGAGAAAATTTTGAAGGAGCAACTGTGAAGAGGCTCTGCCCCACAGATATTCAAAACTGCAGCACACCACCACGCAAATAAATAAAGCAGAAAAGAGGTCAAAGAGAGGCCTGAACATAAACAAAAACTGATATATAAAACAGGGGGAACTGTAAGTCAGTGCAGAAAAGACTGTTTATTCAGGAAACGATGCTGAGGTTATCTAGCTGGAAAAAACAACAGGCAAATCCTACTTCCAATCATATACAAAAATAATTATTGAACTAAAGATAAAATGTAAAAAAATTATAATTGTTCCATTTATTGTTGTTGTTAATCTCTTCCCATGCCTAATTTATAAATTAAACTTTATCATAGGTATGTGTATATAGGAAAAAACTTAGAATTTATAGGGTTCAGTACTGTCCACAGTTTCAGGTACCCGCAGGGAGTCTTGGAAGGTATTTCCAGTGGATTAAGGGGGAACTACTATAAGTGCATATTGCTAAGTGAAAGGAGCCAACCTGGGAAGAACACATACTGCATGATTCCAACCAAATGACTGAACTTTTAAAAAATAAGGTTGAAGCAAATGCTCCTAGGGGTACTAAGATTGGGAAGCATGGCGGGATGGGTGTAGAAGGTTCCGCCACCCTGAAACAGTCTCACTCTGGAAACAACAGACCACACACTAAAGGAGAGTTTGGTAAGCTGCAGCCAAAACCAGCAACTGCCCATTTTGTTATTTTGTACTTTAGTTTAAAAAAAAAATCAAAAGAATATTTCAGGATGGGAAAATTACATGAAACTCATATTTCAGGTTCGCAATGCACTTTTATTGGAACACAGCACTTTGCTTTCCTGTTGTCTGGGGCTGCCTCTGCACTGCAGCAATCCAGCTGAGTAGCTGTGACGGAGCCCCCCGGCCGGCAAAGCTTAAGATGTTTCTAGCTGGCCCTCACACGAAAAGTGCTGACCCCCGCACCAAAGCTCTCTTGGTTCAAGTCAGTCCTTTTTGTTTTGGCAACTATGAAACCACCCAGCTTTCAGGTCTTCTTCTTACCTAAGAGCCCCTAACCCTAAGCCTGCCGATGGCCGTGCATCCATGGCCCGAGGCAGGCCTCTTCCAGGAGAGGCCTGTGGAAAGTGGGCAACACAAATGCAATGAACACAGGCCGGCCACCTACGCCCATCAACCACTGGACATTACGTGTCAAACATCATCGTGTGTAAGAAAAACCAAGCACGTGACAGGGAAAAACCAAGATAAACAACTGAAAAGCTGAGCATGGAGGAAAGAGAAATGATGCAAATGACTGTATCCTTTAAACAGAAAAAGAGCAATCGGAGAACAATAAACAGTTCTTAGAAATTAAAAATGTTTCTGTAAAGCAGGCAGTCAAAAGACAATCTCTAAAGCATACACATCAAGAAACAAAATCTATTAATCAAATATGAAAATCAATAAATTGATAGCCACCAAGAACACTAAAATCAGAAATGATTAAAAAAGTGGTTGCCTCTAGGGAAAGAACCTGAGAAAAGTAGCAGGAGGTGTGTTTTTCACCTCTCACGAAGTATCTTTTAGTCCCACTTTTCCTGTTATATAAAAGCCTTGACAGTTTCACTTTCATGATTCAAAAGCAAAACAAGTGATAACCATAACTCATTCCAAAACTGCTTTGGCCCTTTCCGCAGCCCCTCTGATTTTCCCTTTCCAAGTCCCGACCCAGTCCTGGAGTCCCTTATAGGAGCCAGTCTGGAATCCTGCATCTTTCTGGAATCCTGGGCTGGGATCCATTTGGGACTTTCAGAGACTCACTCACACATCAACAGCCACCAGTGGCCTCAGATCTCAGTAGGCCATTTAAAGCACCACCTACCATCACCAAAGAAACACAGCTCACACCCATTCTCTCTCATGTCACACCTGTTTCTAATGTCAAGTCTGTGCAGAGTGGTGACCCAAGGCTGGCACAGGGGTACAAGAATGCAACTCCCATTAGCCAGCTACTCACGTAGACTGAAAAGGAAGGCCCGGGACATGGCCCAGATCATGGTCAGAGGTTGCTAAGAGCCAGGGTGCCCTCTGCATGGGCCAGAAGAGAGGTGACCTGTGGGGAGTTAGGTGGGGACCCCAGGGGCCCTGCTTGGGGACCTCTCTGCTCTCTGTACACTAAGTTCATGTGAAAGGAACCTCCACTTCCAGCAGAACTGAGCCACAGAGAGATAAGCACCCCCGTCACCATGAGGTACTAGGGGTGCCTGTACTTATGTAGGGAGTCCAGAAACACGAAGTAACCTAGTTTTCCAGGAAGGGACCCATTACAGGAGGGTGGGCTACATCTAATGTGTGGTCCAGGCAGAACTCTGAATTTGCAGGGGACCACAGACTCAGTCACACCCCCTCTCCAGGCTCAGTCTACACTTGTATAAAATTAGGTGATAATTACACTGAGTAGTCTGCTCAGGTGCTGTGAGAATCAAATGAGAACGGATAGGAGAGCTTTTAAACTATAAGCGCCAACAACACATGAAATACTAATCAAGTTGAAAGGTTTTAACACCCAGCCTGCATGTAGGGGTGACTAAGAGCTCCCACTCCCTGGACACAGCCGCTGGAGGGCCAGCATCAGCGTCCCTGTGGAAACCACAGCACTGCGCAGCGGGAAGGCCGGGCCATGTCATTTGTGATCACTCAGACTCCAGTTTCAAGCGGTGCCCAGGGTGGCGACTGAGTCTCTTGTCACTTAAATTTCTCATCTGTACAATGGGGCCCCCACTCCTCACCTCAGAAGTTGCCTGTGATGGTTAAGTGAGACCCAGGACACTCACCTCATGCAGATCCCAGGCCCGCACGGTGCCATCTGAGGACGCAGTGCACACCACAGACTTCTCATGCCCGTCAAAGCAGTACTTGTGGGGTGAGACATAGGCCAGCTTAGCTATCTCTCCTGAAAGAGAACACTGCCTTGAATGGACACTCCTGCCTGGAAGGTGAACGCTCGACCTGTGAAGGGCAGGTGAGACAGGCACTCCTTTCTCTCAGCAGCACAGCAGGCGCTGATTCGGAGACAGCAGTGGGCAGAAAGGGCTAGGGCTTCCGATCTACAGCTCGGGTTTCACCCCAGGACTGCCCACAACCTACCAGCCCCATAGAGATGTAATGACCCTTCCTCACAGGGTTACAGTGACTGTCAGTGACTTAACACAGATGTCGAACCCAGCACAGAACGTACCCGTCAAGTGGCATTTTCCAACTCTGGCTGAAACACAGAATCCCACGAGACAGAGCCGGGAGAGTGAGAGGGGGCAAGCGCGCAGCTACTGCACCCCGTGAGCCATACCTTTGTGCCCGGCCATGGCTTTGCAGACGAAGTCCTTCTCTGGGCGCCCAGATTCCACTCGGAACTCCAGCTCAGATCTGCAGAGATAGTACTGTTTCCACGTTCGTGTGCCTGGAGTCATCTGGGAGTCTTTACAGGAGGACCAGCGTCTCAGACACAGCTGCCTGAAAATAGACCCACAGCTGCAGGCAGGCCAGAAGTCATCAGGAGGTACTATGGGGTCAATGGGCCTAGCTTTAATTCCTAGCTTCACCACCTATTAGCTTGAACACCTCACTCTGCCTACACAGGCCTCAGTTTCCTCTACTGTTAAATGGGAAAAATGATGAGATGACACAGTGAGTACGCACCATGTGAGGTGTACGTGCTTTGTGTGTGCCCAATATGCATAGCAACTCTGTGACATAGGTCCTGATCTCCACTCTACACGAGGACAGAGAGGCAGAGAGTGGCAAACACTTACCCAAGGTCATGCAGCTCTGAATATTTTGAAGTATCCAGCTCTTACTGTTGAATTGTCTATCTTTCCCTTCAATTCCATCTGCCTTTCATGTATTCTGTTGCTATTGTTAGGTGCATATATGTTTATAAATTTCAGATCCTGATGGATTAACCTGTGCTTTTTGTCTTAAAGTCTATTTTGTCTGATATTAGCTTGGCCATTCCAGCTTTCTTTTGGTTACTGTTTGCATGGTATATCTGTTTCCATTCTTTTATTTTCAACCTGAGCCCTTGAATGTAAACTGTGTCTATTGTAGTCAGTATGAAGTTTTAATCCCTTCTGCCAGTCTCTGCCTTCTTATTGGAGTGTTTAATCCATATACATTCAATGTAACTACTAGTAAAATAGTATTTACATGTCATTTTGCTTATTTCTTATTTTTAATATGTTTTTGTTGATTTCAAAGAGAGGAAGGGAGAGGGAGAGAGATAGAAACATCAATGATGAGAGAGTCACTGATTGGCTGCCTCCTGCATGCCCCCTACTGGGGATTGAGCCCAAAACCCGGGCATGTGCCCCGATCAGAAATCAAACCCGTGACACTCTAACCACTCACTGAACCACACCAGCCAGGACAAACAAAATTCACATTTTATTTACACTGAAATAAACTAACTTATGAAAATCTAGTTTTAATAACTACTTAACTTCAATAGTATTCAAAAACTTTGCCCCAGTATAGCTCCATTTCTTTCCCCCTCATGCTGTTATTGTCATACAAATTACATCTTTATACATCATGTACCCAAAAGGGATTTACAGTTTTGGCTTATGCAGTCTTAACTCACATAGCAGAAAACATTACAAAAAATAATTTATACTGCCCTTTACATATGCCTATATAGTCACTTCACAGTGCTCTGTATTTCATGTGGATTCAAGTTCCTGTCTCATGCCCTCAATCTGAAAGACTCCCTTTAGTATTTCTTGCAGGGCAAGTCTACTAGGAACAAACTCCCTGAGCTTTTGTTAATCTCGAAATATCTAATATTCTCCATTTTGCTAGATACAGTATTCTGGGTTACAATCTTTTTATTTCAATACCTTCTAGGCTCCATGGTTTTTTATGACAAACAACCGTTAATCTCATTGGGGGTCCTGGATACATGAAGAATTGTTTCTCTCTTGATGCTTTCAAGTTTCTGATTTTGGCTTTCAAGATTGATTATAACATATCTCAGTGTGAAACTCTTTGAGTTTATCCTACTTGCAGTTCATTGAGTTTTTGGGTGTGTAAATTAACATTTTTCATCAAATCTGGGAAGTTTTCAGTCATTACTTCTTTAAATACTTTCCTCCTTTTTCCTTTCTCCTATCATTCTGGGGACTCCTGTTATGCATTGTTGGCACACTTGATGGTGTCCCACAGCTCTCTTAGGCACTATTCATTTTTTTTATCTTTATATTCATTCTGTTCCTCAGTCTGCATAATCTCAATTGACCTAACTTCAAGTTCACCTGCTGAAATCTACTCTTGAATTTTTAGTTTGATATTGTACTTTTCTACTCCATAATTTCTATTTTATCTTTTGTAATTTCTCTTTATTGATATTTCAATTGAATGGGACATAGTCCTCCTACTTTCCTCTAGTTCTTTTCACATGGTTTCCTCAAGTTTTTTGGACATACAGTTGACTCTAGAACAACATGGGTTTGAACTGCACAGATTCACTTATAAGTGGGTTTTTAAAAATACGTTTTATTGATTTTAGAGAGAGAGGAAGGAAGAGGGAAAGAAACATCGATGTTTGAGCCCGGACCAGGGATCAAACCCTCATCCCAGGTATGTGCTCCAAACGGGAATTGAACCAGCGACCTTTCGGTGTATGGGAAAACACTCAACCGAGAGACATCAGCCAGGGCTATAAGCAGATTTTTTTCAATAAATATGTACAGTACTGTTAATGTATTTTCTCTTTATGATTTTCTTCTCTCTAGCTTATTTTATTGTAAGAATATAGTAATACATATAACATATAAAATATGTGTTAATCAACTATTTATGTTATCGGTAAGGCTTCTGGTCAACAGTAGGCTATTAGTAGTTAAGTTTTGGGGGAGTCAAGAGTTATGCATGGACTTTCATTTTTCAAGAGTCAACTGTATTTAAGTCAGCTGATTTATAAAGTCTTTTTCTACTAGGTCCAATGTCTAGGCTTCCTCGCAGACAGTTTCTGTTGTGTGCTTTGTTTCCTGCATATTAGCCATACTTTCTCTTTGCATGACTTGTAACTTTTGTTAAAAACTGAAGATTTTACATGACATAGGTAATGTGGAACTCTGGAAATCTGATTCCCCTCCCCCCAGGTGTACTGTTTATGCTGTTTGTTATTATTGTTTGTTTAGTGATGTTTCTAAACTAATTCTGAAAAGTCCGTATTCTTTGTTATGTCTGGCCACTTAAGTCTCTGCTCAGTTAAATTAGTGCTCACTAATGACTAGACAGAGATTTCCTAAACATCTAGAACCACTAAGACTCCCAGTCATTGCCAAAGGCTCTGTGTATATGTCAGGGCACATGTTCAGCACTCAACCAGGCAGCTGACTACTCTGCCTTATCCTTGGCTTCCTTCACAGAACCTCAAGGTCAGCCAGAGGTGTGAGCTTAGAGCCCTCTTAGGTCTTTCTTGAGTTAGCACAAAGCCCTGCATGTGCACAAGACCTTCTAGATTTCTAGGAATATATCTGAGCTTTCCAAAATCCCTAAGGATATCACATTCCCAGCTTTTTGGGGTTTTTTTTGGTTAACCTATTGTTTCTTTAACTGTTATCCATCAGCTCTGACAGCCACAAAGTTAATCAGCTGTCTGTAACTGTTTTTGACAAATGCCCCAAGGTTTCACACTGGATGAACTCCAAGTCAGGCAAAATAAAGAGAGCCAGCTTGAGGTCTTCCAGGAAACACCAGACAGGTCAAATAATGCCAATTTTCTGGTAATGAGGCTTTGAAGTCTCTCTAATCCCCCTTATGGAGTGACAGGTTCCTGGTACACTGTGATTGTGAGCTACTGGCATTCAAGGCTATCATAGAGTTGGAGGGAGGTTATGGGAATAGGGCAAGTGAAAGCTTGCTGTTCTTACTGAGATTAAGCCTTTTTTTTCTTGAATACACACTTCCTAGACTATTGTAAGTCTCTGGTTAATTTCCAGAGTTCTGTAAAAGTTGATTTTGACAATTTGTGTCAGTTTTCTCATTGCTTTTATGGAGAAAATTTTCAGAGGTCATTAATCCACCATTTTCCAAGAGTCTGCATTCTTAACTTGCATGTGAATACTGTCAATTCTCTGATAGTACCACTATCATAAGATTGTTGATGATGAAATATTAGGTCACCCACACTGCAGAGAATACTGAACCCCCACCTAGTCTGTGGGCACCAAGGTGAGACATAGTTCTTGCCCTAGAGGCACTATCAGCTGGTGCTTAGGAGGAAGATAAGCAAAACTGAAATTGAGGGGAGAAATACTAAGTTTCAGAAGGGGTAGCTTATGGTGCCATGGGAGCTGAGCACAAGGAGAATGGACATCTGGCTGGAAGAAGGTTAGGGAGGCTTCCGTGACAGAGGCTTTCAACATTCCAGTTATCAGAGCTGATGTGGCATCGCAGGACTCTAGTCCAGCACTCACATCTCACAGAAAGAAGAACAAGGTCGGGTAGGAAATAACTGGCTCATAGCCCACGGCCTAAACAAATACAGCAGAAAGAATTTCTGTCCATCAAAGCCATATACAGTCACTGACCACGTACGTGCCAGGCTTTATGCAGGCACTAGGGACCTTCTAACACACTGAGAAAGGCGGAGTGGCTGTGTTGGATAAAGGTTTTCCTGTGCTTGCTGAAACTCTGGTCCCTGTACCAGAAGTAGCATACTGGCAGACTGTGGGCAGAATTGGACCCCAGATTATATTGTTTGGCCTGCACTGAAATGGCCCATATGAACTAGCTGCCAACACTTAAAAACCTGGAGATCTCACGTAAAAATCAGGTAAAAGCAGATCTAGCTATACTGAACCCAAATTCCCACCTGATAAAATTTGTCTGGAGCCATACAGAGATGTACCCTTTAGACAGGAATGAGCTCTCAGCTCCATCATAGTCTTCAACGTCCGTTTTATCTCCTAGACTCTAAGGCCGAGTGTCAGCTGCCTCATATCACCATTCCTAAAGGCTGTTGATTTTCTTTTAGTTGAAATAAGAGGTAAGGGAAATTTCTTGTATCCATATCTCAATCTAAACAGTGTGAAAATAAAAGCTAGACCAAGAAGATAATGTGGTTTAAGAAAAAGGAGAGATGACACATTTCTATGTGGAAGTGGAGTCTATTTCTACATATTTAAGGCCATTATACATCAAACCATAAGGAGGACCCATGACCAATATTCAGAAGAAATGAGAAAATCAAATGATTTGACAATAAAAAAGGTTGTAAATAAGGATAAAGTATGACTATGAGTAAAGTATGTGATATGCCTCTGGAATACAATGATGTATCAAGTGAAAAATATCACCCACCAAAACCTTTCACAGATGGCAATTAATAACAAAACAATCTACTATACTCAATAGAAATTATGTACCTTAAACAAAAGAAAATATTTGCAATTTTACTTCTAACCAAACGGTAATGCCTAGTGTGTTGAAGAAATGACAGAATTAAAAAGGTCATGAAGCATTTAAATAAGTCACTTGCAGCCTTTTCAATTTAAATTATAAAGTACAGAGTCAAAATACACGTCCAGTTAGCCACATTTATTTACTGTGTCCGTAAGAAATTTTATGAGTCTGGAGAGCTTTGGGGCCTGGTACTATGATAGGCACAGTACCAGAAATGACACGTGTATGTGATAATGCTCCTGCAATGCTATTGTCCCAGCCCCACAAACATAAACACAGTGCTTTTTTTAAGAACATAGGTAGCATCCCAAGAAATAACTTTATGCTAAAAAAAGGTTAGCACCAAACACTATGAAATAGTAATGAACCAAAAACCCGCCTGTGACTTGGTTTGCAGACAGCTGAACAATCTACTTGAGGAACCTGGAAGCATGACATGGTAACATATGACATACATGTGGAGGTCAGGGGATAAGCCTCTGAAGAGTTTTGGTTTTTTGGAACTGCTGACCAAAATATACTTACTCATATCATTCAAATGGAAATTCCTGTCCTAGCTTATCAGCAAAGAAGAGAAAAAGACTAGGGTCTAGGGTTGGCATCCTACCCATTTTAACAAGTGAACCTTGCTCTGCAAGGGCTTCAACAAATAGTTGCACCAATCCATGAGTCAATTCATTTATTCCTAGCGACACAACGTATTTTAAAATCACATCTGGCAAGACATAATCTCGTCCACTTACCTACAGATAAATCAATTTCCAGAACTAAATGCTACATCTACAGTATATTCCCCAAATTGAGATAAAGACTGAAATCCAATAAAAGCTCTCTTACTTCAAAAGTGACTAAAGAGACTGACATCATTTTTCTAAACATTAGCAATAAAAAATGAAAGCAACAAAACCAACAATGTTACGTGATACTGAAAACTAGATATGGTAAGACTGGCATTGCAGAATTATAAAATACCTCAATGAAATGTTATCCTAAAATTAAAACCATCAAGCAAAGATTCCCTCCATGTTTGGAAGAGCTTTCATGTGTGAACAGCTGTTTTCCATCACAAGTAATTAAAACTAAGCATAGGTCCTAGTTGATAGTCAAGGATATAGTCTGCCCTATATTCAGCAAGAGGTAGAAGATCTGACACTTACATCTTGAGGCAAAAGGAAAGATGTCAGGTTCCAAAGGAGAAATGAATAGGAAAGAAAAATTTAATAATTTAATGATTAAAATATTTATTTTCAACTTTTTTTTTAATTTATTTAAGTTCTAATATCATACATGCTTATATAGCTATATTGCTACACCAGAGATGAAATAAAAGTGGTTGAGTTGTCAGTTGATTTGTCTCCTATCAGCCAGTTGTGTTCATTTGCTGTACATTTCTTCCCCTTAGCTTGGTACCCTTGCCTTCTATTAACCTCCAACTCAATTAATAAAATCTTTTACATTTCAGTATACTATAAAAAAGAGTCTTACACCCCCAATGAGAGAGCAGTTCCCTGCTGGTAGGGACTATCACTTCTTGTGTACGCAACAAAGCTAGAAACACAGTGAGTGCTCAAAAAATGTATCCAGAGCACCCGTCTCTACTTTTCGGGACACTGTCTTGACCACGTTTGGCTCTTCCTTCATTCACTCACCTCCACAATTCCTTGGTCCCTGAAACCTCATTCCAGACCTAGAACAAGAGGGGAGAGAACAGAATAGCTGTTCAGTCACCATACAGTTAGCACCCAGGCTGCCAGGCCCTGTGAAGGGGACAGACAGCTAAGTCAGTCCCAGTCCCAGTGCCTGCACTCAAGAAAACTCCTCCTGGGGCATATTCAAATAAAAACCACCAAATAAAGAGTGAGAAAGGAGAGAATGACCAATTCAATGGGGCCAAGGAGCTCAGAAATGATTGCTGATCGAGTCCTAAAGGATGGGTCATTGTACCCTAAAAGAATGGCTGAAGCACTCCAGGGAGAGACAGAACCACTTGTGCAAAGATTCAAAAGAGTGAGAGACAGTGAGTAATTTGCCTTAATTAGAACATAAAGTTCTGGGAAAAGGAGCTGGAGACTGGCTCACACCACTTTCCAGAAGTCATAATGGCAAAAACAGTGAGAGGCTCCTTGAGAATTGTGAATGGAGGAGTGGTGGGTCAAACAGTGTTTTAGGAAAATCACTCTGGCTGCTGGGAGAAGGCAAGATTGGAAATGAGGGCAGAGCAGCAGGTTGTAAGATTGCTGTGATGGAGCAAATTAAGGCACTGGCCCCAGCAATGTCCTAGAGATGCCAAGATGGTGGAATGGAACAGCTGACAAGGAGAGGGCTCTGTATGGGCCCTGCTCTACAAACTGCCCTCAGAAGAAGCACTTGGAAGAGACTCAGGTGGCACCTGCAAGGCCCTCACCTGATTCTGGAACTTCCTGGCCTCCGCCACCCTGGATTCTGTAGCCTACACAGCTTCAGTGGGAATCACTGGAGATTTCTGTGGCCCAGTCCCACTGAGGGTCCTATCCCAGATACGTGGCTTTCCAGGCCCTGGCAGACGTAATGACCATCCTACCTGAGCCCAGGCTCCCAATTCCATAGCCCTCGCTCACCTAGATCAAAGTTTCTCAGCCCTTAAGAAGTTTTTTTGGCCCTGACTGGGTGGTTCCGCTGGTTGGAGCATTACAACCAAAAGGTTGCAGGTTCAGTTCCCAGTCAGGGCACATACCTAGGTTTCACGTTTAATCCTGGGTCAGGGCATGTATGAGAGGTAACCAATGTTTCTCACATTGATGTTTCTCTCTCTCTAAAGAAAATAAAAACATAGCCTCAGGCCCTAGCTGGTTTGGCTCAGTGGTTAGAGCGTTGGCCTGCGGACTGAAGGGTCCTGGGTTTGATTCCAGTGAAGGGCATGTACCTCTGTTGCAGGCTCAATCCCCTAGCCCAGGTTGGGGTGCATGCAGGAGGCAACCAATCGATGTGTCTCTTTCACAGAGATGTTTCTTTCTCTCTCCTTTCCACTCTCTCTGAAAAGCAATGGAGCCCAGCCTGCATGGTTCAGAGGTTGAGCATCAACCTATGATCCAAGAGGTTTGATACCTGGTCAGGGCATATACCTGGGTTGCGGGCTTGATCCCTAGCACGGTGCATGCAAGAGGCAGCCGATCAATGTCTCTCATCATTGATGTTTCTCTCTCTCTCCCTCTTTTTTCCTCTCTGAAATCAATAAGATTTTTTTAAAAAAGCAATGGAAAAAATATCCTCAGGTGAGAAATTTAAAAAATAATATTAATTAAAAAATAAAAAACATATCTTCGGGTAAGGATTAAAAGAACACACACCTATTTGGCAGGTAGGAATGTAATGTTTATATTTTGCAAAATCAAACCAGCCAAAAAAATTTATTCATTTCCTTTTTCTACAGTTCCCAGTTCAAAACACAACTAAGATCTTATTTCCCACATATAGAATTATAATGTGTAATGTAACCTGCAAAATAGGTCCTACCCACCTTTAAGGATCCCTCTGAACCTGGCCTTAACCATACACCCTGAGGCAGGGATTACTGAACTCATTGTCCCTAACAGGGGATGTAGGACCTGGAGAAGTTCTTGCTATAAAAAGGTATTAAGAACTACCCCTTTCAGACTATACTGTGATCCTAGGTCAATCCCCACCTGCTGCTGTGGAAGCAGCCAGGGATCCAATTCCATCTCCGTGCAGGGCTACCTGGATGACCATGGACAATGTACCCACTGAGGTACTTACCTTAGTGGTAAAAATGGGGATGAAAACCCAGAATTTTACTTGATACATTTAAAATTATAATTACAGAACTCAGGGAATTATGTTTATTAATCTTTTTGTAAAAATAATAAATTATTTTAAAATTTATTCAACAAATACTTATTGAGAGTGTGGTAGGCAGTTAGGCAGACATGAGCAGGTACAAAAGGTCACCAGGGTGGAAAGCCCCAGGTGCCTAGCAACAGACAATTGTAGGGTGGGACCTCATCCCCAGGGTGACCTTTCCTCCCTTAGCATATCGCTGGTCTTGTGGTTTGGAACCCCTGACCTTTCCGCCCTAGAGATAACACCTAGGCCTCAGTTGTAGTTCAGCTCCAGGCCCAGAAAAGCAGCAAAACCAGATGAGCGACACCAACACTAACTTTAGGACCAGCTGCACTAACTAATACCCCCTGCCCTGGTGCTGATGAAAAAGTCAGTGGCAACCACAACCCTGAAAGGATATGCCTGGAAAGCTGCTGAATATTCTAATGAGTTCTTCCCCTGGGACCTCCCCCAAAATCTCTACCCTTAAAATCCTCAGGACAGCTGGCCAGGCATGGCTCAGCTGTTGAGCACTGACCTAAGATCCAGGAGATCTTGGTTTGTATGCCCAGGTTTCCAGCTCATCCCTAGTCGGGTGCGTGCCGGAGACAAACGATCAATGACGAATTTCTCATCATTGATGTTTCAACTCTCTCTCCCTCTCCTTTCCTCTCTCTGAAATCAATAAAGAAATATTTTTTTAAAAAGAAAAAAAACCCTTACCATAGTGGACTCAGTGCACTCTCCTTCTGGGGAGCACCTAGAGCCTTTCCCTTCCTCACTTCTAAGCTCCAAGGGCCGGTCCTTTGCTTCTGCTTACAAATTACTTCTACTTCTGTGATTTTCTAAATAAATGTTCTCTTATAATAGCTCAGGTCTTGGCTCTGAATTCTTTCCTAGCCAGAACTCAAGTACAGAGGTGGCTGAACCCAAGTCCCGTCTGACCCCACCAGTCTAACACCTGGTGCCGGTCTCACCAAGGATGCTAGAGACACAGTGATGTAAAAGACGAAATCCCTGTTCTTAGGAATGGGGGGGGGGACACACAGTCATTAAACAAATACACCCTACAAACAAGCACGTATCACTGTGCTGAGTCCCAGGCAGGGAGAGCTGAGTGCGCCTGTCTAAGGGGAGGAAGCCCAGACGAGACTAACGCACTCAACGGGAACTCGGCACGGCCAGGACACCGAGGGGCCCGCAGCGGCTGCGGGAAACAGGTCCCACCCGGCGGAGAGCGCGGGGCGTGGCTGCCCAGGCTGACCAGCGAGGGAAAAGGGCGGAGTTAGAAACGCTCCCTAAACTAATCTCTGGAGTGAACCCCGATGGGAGGGCGCGCCCATCTAGTTGCGAGAGCGGGGGGCGTTCTGGAAGCCGGGGCGCGGGGCTGCAGAGCGACCCCTCCAGCGGCCAATGCAGTAGCCACCTTGAGGGCCGCGAGCGCCCTCCGCCGGTCACGGGTCCAAGGCCGCCGAAAGCTCGTCCAGGTGGGGACACAGGCCCAGAGCAGAAGGGCAGCCTCGGACACTCAGTGGCCATGTCCCCAGCCCTGCCTCCATCCGGGGCGCACTACCTTGTCCACCTGGGCGGCACACAGCAGGTCACGGGCCTCCAGGAAGGAGAAGACGTGCAGCAGCTCGTGCACACCCAGCTGCGGCCCCATGGCTTCCGCCGTCCCAGGCTCGCCACGCCTTCTCTGCGCTTCCGCCCTGCGGGCCAATCCCCGCCCATCCCACCGCGTTTCCGCCCCGCAGGCCAATCCCCGCCCAGCCCGCTGAGTCTCTGCCCCCGCAGGCCAATCCCCGCCCAGTCCGGTGCTCTTCGGCCACGCCTCCCGCTGCGCTTAAGGCCCATCTTGTAGCCCACGAGCTCCGCTTGCCCCTGGCCTTGGGTTTGCCTGACCTCACCCTTGGACTTCCCCTTTGCCCTGACCCTTGTCCCAACATGTCCCAGGCCCTCGCCCTTGCACTGACCCTCGCACTAGACCGCACAGTGGCCCCGCACAGGCATCTCTGGAGCCCTTGCTGTGGTGCTGGTCCTGCCCCTTGGTCTCGCCCCTTATCAGTATGCGTCCAGTCCTGCATCCCAACCTCACCTCTCCCCTCTAAACCTGACCTTTGACTTGGACCTCTCACCTGGTTCATCCCTGGCCTTCACCATGACCATGGTCCTGCCGTTTCCCTTTATCCTGATCCTTTCTCAACCTGGCCCTAATCATCACCTTAGTCCTAACTAGTTTGTCATCCACCCCCAGCCTCTCCTTCCCTCACCTAACCCTGATCCTGACACTCACCCTGAACTTCACCCTGCCCCTAACCCTCACCTTCACAATGACCCTCAGCCACACTCTTACGTTGGCACTGGCACTTGCACAGATCCTAGCCCTAACTAAACCTCGTGCCTTCCTCACCATGGCACCTAACCTGGTCCTCACCTTGCCTTGGGCCCTGACACTGACCCTCACTCTGGACTTGGTCCTGGCCTGGCCAAGTTCAGATTAGTGTAAGGGTGAGGGTCATGATCAAGTTCAAGGTCAGAGCAGGTCAGCATCACAGGATGAAGGTCAGGGACAGAGTAATAAGTGTCAGAAATCAGAGTGAGGGTGAGTGTCTAGTTCAGGTTAAAGATCTGGATGAGAGAAGTCAGTGTATCAGGTTCCTGGTTAAAATCAGTGTAAGGAAAATTTCAGGGCCAGGATTATGTTTAAGATCAACTTTAAGATCAATGTGAGAGACATGATCAAGGTCAGGATCAGGGTCAGGTTGAGGATCCATTAGAGAATCAGTGAGAGAATAAAGGGCAGGGTGGTTACTGTTAGGGTGAGGTAAGATTGAGAGTTGCACTCAGGTTGACAGTGAATGTCCAATTCTGTGTACAATTCAAGGTCAAGGTTGGGGTGAGGTTGATATTCAGGGTTAGGGCCAGGTTCAGGGTCCAGATCAATGTGAGGATAGGCTGTCAAATCCAAGTCAGCTCAAGGTGAGCATGATGTTCACTGCCAAGATCAATTAAGTCAACATGGGGTTTGTTTTCTATTGCTACTGGAAAGAGTTAAGACCTCCCACCTCCACTTCTCTCTTGCATATACACCCACCTGGATAATCCAAGATACTCCTTCCATGTCAAGGTCTGTACCCTCAGTCACATCTGCAAAGCCCTTTTGCTATGTAAGGCAACATATTCATAGGTTAATACATGGACATCTTTGGGGGGGGGGGCATTATTTCCCCTTCCAGTTAAAGTCAGGTTCAAGGTCAAGGATGGGTCAAGATGTGGGCAATGACCAGGCTGAGGATGATGGTCACCATGATGATAGTCATTGTCAGTGTGAAGTTTGATTTCAGGATCAAAGTCCAGGTCAGGTTCACAACCAAGTGTGAGTACAGGTTCTGCTCAAAAATGAGGATCAAGGTCAGTGCGAAATTGAGGTCTGGGGTAATGTCAGTGTTGGGATCAGGGTTGTGGTAAGGTTTGGAGTGCAGGCTAGTTTCAGCTTAAGTGTGCTGTGGTTCAAGGCTCTAGTCCAGTGTTAGGGTGGGTCACTATGATGGTCCTTGTTAAGATGAGGATTCAGTCTAGGGGTAGAGTGAAGTTGAGGGTCAGATTAAGGGTGATGAGAGTCTTATTCATGATAGTGTTGAATTATGACCAGTAATAACAAATTGTCAGTGAAGGGTAAATCAAGGTCAGGATAAGTATGACAGCCACGTTAGTGGTCAGCATCAGGATCAGGGTCATGATGAGCATCAAAGTATGCATGTCAATTAGAGGGCATGTGTTATGTTCTATGTCAAGTGGGTTCAGAGTTATGGTGACGGTCAAGGTCAATGCCAAGATCAGATCAGGAATAGGTAGGTAAGGGTCTGCCAAAGAATTGGGTGTGAGTGAGTGTATGTCAGGTTCGGGGTGATGAATAAGGGTCAGGTTCAGAGTAAGGCTTAAGGACAGGGTGAAGGTCAAGGTCAGGGTGGGTTAAGGTTTAGGGTCTTATGTGAGTGGGGCTAATTGAGGGTCAATGGTCAAGGGTGTGAATATAAGCTCCCATTTATGTGGAGGTGAGAGCTACCAGAAATTGAGCTAGACTGGAGCTTAGAGTCTAAAGATGTGGCTAGAGAAACCGGCAGACGCCAGATCCCGAAAACATCCTTATAGACATACAAGACAGTCAGACTTTCCCCTGAAAACAAAAACTGGAGTTTATTTTGTTTTGAATTCCCTCTAAAAGCAGTGACTGTGGCAGTGTTAGTCAACTCTGTCCTCAGGGCTTACAGAAGTTTATTCACATGGATCACAGAATGAATATTTCAGAATAAAAGATTACTAAGGATAAATCTCTCTACTGTGTGTTTTTATCTATACTTGAACCAACACCATCTCAATTATTACAACCCTATGATAAGTCTTTGTATCAAATAGGCTAAGTCCTTCCATCATTTTTCTTTTTCTTTTTTAAATATATCTTTATTGATTTCAGAGAGAGGAAAGGAGAGGGAGAGAGAGAGAAATAGAAGCATCAATGATGAGAGAGTCATTGATCGGCTGCCTCCTGCACACCCCAGGCTGGGGATCGAGTCCGCAGCCTGGGCATGTGCCCTGACCGGGAGTCGAACCCCGATCGCCTGGATCCTAGGTCGACGATCAACCGCTGAGCCACGCCCGGCCGGGCCTTCCATCATTTCTCGTTTCTGCCTCCTCCCCTCAACCCTTTTATTTCCATATATATTTTATAATTGTCTTATCGAGCTATTAAATAAGAAAAACAAGAGCCAGATGGAATTGCATTGGGATTTACTGAATTAACAAATGAGTTTCGGGAATGCCTGTCCCCTTATTTCCTTGGTATCTCTAAGGAAGATGGCACATCTGGCTCTGGCTCACCCTTCTCCGAAGGGTAGAGATGTTTGTAAACCCGGTTAAAGTGTCTAGTTTATAACCTAAGCCACACCTGGGCCTGGACTTTTGCCACATCACCTCCAAATGGGAGCTCTGTCATATAAAGCCCCTAGGAAGCCCCAAGACTAGAATAGCCATCAATGGGGCCACTTTCCCAGTGACCACAGAGAAGCGAGGACCAAGAGATGATGCCACCTCAGCCACTTCCCTCGATAGGAATGAAAAAAAGGCAGGAACGGAAAGAACTACTTGGGGGGTTTTTATAATAAATCTCAAAACTGAACTAGTGTTTAATATCGCTGAGAACAAAGCAAACCAAACCTCCCTTCTCACTTGGGTTTCCGAATTGAGGACATTTTACTCTGTGCTCCCACAGATGGCTCTACCAGAACCGTTCCTGACCAGAAAGGTAGTGCCAGGAGAAGCAGCACCACGGCCAGCATGGCAGTGGGCTCACCATCTCTTTCTGATGGGAAAGTGAGCAGCACAGACGGGAGGCCAAGGGCACAGCCTCGGGTCTCCTCTGCTGGGGCTGGACATCCTCATCGCATGGCTGGGACAGGACCAGGCATGGCGCGAGCCCAGTGTGGTCACGGTGTGGCCATGGAGGAAGGTAGGCTGGAGCAGAACAAGAGACCCTGGAAACAGGCAGGTGGGACCTGGTCCAGCGTCTCAACCCTCTGGGATGAAGGGCCGAATCAGCTCTGGGTTCAACAGTAACTCTTCGAGGGGCCGGTCTACGTGGAAGTCGTGGACGTTGGGGGGTCCCGGGTGGGCCTTGGGGGCCAGTCCCCCCGGGCGCTGGGGAATTGGCAGCTCCGAAGGGTGGGCAGGCAGAGGAGCTGTGAAGAAGTATTGGTGCAGGAGGGCCTGGGGGTGGCAAGCAAAAGACCAGTCACCTCCCTGTTCCAATCTGAGCTCACTTCCCTGAGGGGTAGACCAAGTGCAGCCCTGCAGAGGCTCATTCCTTCATCTGCTCATCTGCCTCGCTCTGGAGTGCTGATTGAGCACTGCTCTAGAGGCTGTGGGTGCAGCAGTGCACAGAACCTTCCATGTGACCAGGAGTAGGGGACAATAAACAACATAAAATAGTAAGACAGTCAGTGCATCAGAAGGCTAGTGCTGGAGAGGTGGCAGGCCTGAAGTGGTAAGGAGGCCCCCTGGGAGGTGGCACTTGATCAAAGACAGGAGAGGTGAGCAAGTGAGGCCCAGGGACAGAAGTGCACAGACTCCAGGACATGGAGGGAGCCCAGGGGCCAGAGGGGGCCAGGAACAGGCAGGGTCACAGAGGTGAGAGCCATAAGTGTGTGATACCTGTGGGCCATTAGGACCTGGGCTTCTCCTCAGGGAGCTACGGAGGGCCCTGCAGAGGAGGGTGGGCTGGCCTGTCTGGACAAGGTCATGCTCTCTGCCAGGTGGGAGGAGACACTGAATGAGCAGGAGCAGACTGGGAAGCAGTGAGGGCAGCTTAGACTGGAGGCAGCAGCAGCAGGGGGCTGAGAAGTGGTATGCTGGGCTCAGTATGCTTTGAGGCACTGTGGACATGGCGCTCACCAAGTGCATGCATGAACACATGCTGCTGGTGCCAAGGGTGGGGAGGGGCGTGGTACACCCCACAGAAACCCTGACACCACTGGCCCAAGGTCCTCTCTTTGTTCCCTGCCTCCCTGCCACAACCCGTCCTCCTAGGTCCTCCTCTCCGGGCCCCTGCTCATCACCTCTCATGAGGAAACACCTCCTGTCCCTAAACCTGTCCTCCTCCAGGAAGCCTCCGACCCCCACAGCCTGGAGGCCCTGCCTCAGCACAGGGCAGAGACCCCATGGGTACGGGGCCATGACTGCTTGTTCACTCTGGGCCAAGGCCCAGGATAGTACCTGGCATATGCCAATGCTCAGTAAATACTTGCTGAAGGAATGAAGGGATGAAGGAGCAAGTCACCAGAAGCAGAGGTGCTGTCTTCTGTGAAGTGGGCACGCCCTCCTAACAGGCAACCCTTTCCTGCCCACAGCCCCTCTGGGATCTGCTCAAGAGAGACACAGTGACTCCGAGCCCCCCATCACACCTTCTAAGGGACCTTGACCTCCTGAGTCACATGAGCATGAACGAAGAGGATCAGGGCAATGGGGGCCACCCTACCTGAGAGGCTGCAATACGCTGGCGTGGAGGGTAGAGGAGGAACTGCCCAAGCAGGTCCAAGGCCTGGGGAGAGGCATCCGGCAGCACCTCTCCTAGGGGCACAGGCGCCTGCTCCTCGAAGGAGATCTTGTTATAGTCCGGCAGCTCCGTGATCTCCTGAGAATGGGGCACCTCAGCGCCAGCACTGCCAGCCAGCTCCCTCTGTCGTCAGTCCTTGCTCCCAGTCACCCACCTGCTCAGGCTTAGTGGCTGCTGATCCATGTGCCCCACATCCATGTGCCCCACCCTCACCCCATCACTCACGTCTTCACACACTCACTCAGTCCTTCAGTCCTTCATGCCCCCACCCTCTAGGGCACCTGCTCCAAACCCAGCTTGGTGAGAACTGCAGTGTGCTAGGGGTAGGCAGGAAGGGACAGTGGACAGGACCTGGCCTTCCTGCCTCCAGCACAGTAGGGAGGGAGGAGCCCCAGAACTGGGCCAGGACTGTGGTCTGTGATTTCAGGGAGGCATGGGGCCACAAGAGAGAAAGTACAGGAGATGGGAGTCACCAGCTATTGGGGGAATGGAGGATACCTCCCCCAACCCCTCCCCACAGAGGGCCCCTGCAAACCGGCCAGATTTGAGGGCTGGGGGTGCCCAAGATGCGAAGTACACAGCAAAGCTGTTCGATGTCGTTCTCCCCTGGGAAAAGCGGGGACCCATTCAACAGCTCCCCCAGGATGCAGCCCACAGCCCTGTGGATACAGAACCCAAACAGCTCACAGACTCACACCACAGACACCGATCTCCCCACTCCAGCACCTACCTCTCAGGCACACACAAGTCACCTAGAGGGCTCACAGACAAGAATATCGAGCCCCCAGCAATCAAAGACTTCAAGCCTAGAGCACAGAGTATATCCCCCTTTTCAGGCCTCAACTCTGGAACACAACAACCACTCAACGGTTCTGAGACTTCTCAGAGCTTCATACTCTGGGACACACAGCCCCTTCCTCACATTCTGGGGCACAACTCCAAAACAGCCACCAAATCTCAAATTCTTACATGTGCACATGCCTAAGTAAAGGCTCAGAGCCTTCATATCCAAGGACCCAGGCCTCTGGATTGCTCAGGGACATTGCATCCTGGGTTATAATCCCCTGCACAGTAGCTAGATGCACCACTCCCAGACCATCTCCCCCACCCCAACCCAGAAGTTTCCCACTGGGACAACCACTTGGATCCCATCTAACTGCCACCCAGCTCCAAAATGTCATGGGGAGGAACACTGATCCTAAACTCTTCAGTTACCCTAACTGGGGAAGACACCCCAAGGCAACCTAGAGCTCCCAGCAAGAAAATACCCCTACACAGCTTAGAGATCCCAATGCCCAGGAGGAAAAGGTGACTCCACAACCCACATTCTCCACTTGCCCAGCCCACAGGAGTCTCACCACAGGTCGACCCCCTGGTCATACTGGCGGGCACCGTACAGAAGCTCGGGGGCTCGGTACCACCTGTAAGAGGAGGGCAGGTGGTCACAGCCAAGTCACCAGTCTGACAGGAGGCTGTCCCTAAAGGTCACCCTGGCCCCCATACCAGCCTCACGAGCAATATCTGGAGAGGCCCAGAAGCATCTTTTCCCCAGTGAGAGCATTAGAGCCTGTCTATTACTAGGTCCTGCCTGGGAACCAACCCTCCCTACCTGGTGGCCACCTGGTGCGTGTAGAGGCGGCTGCCATCTGGGGAAAAGACCCGGGCCAGGCCAAAGTCCGCTATCTTGAGCTGGCCTGAGGCACTGATGAGCAGGTTGGCTGGTTTCAGGTCCTGAGAGTACCAAAGGAGGCATCAGTTCCTCCAGCACTCCCAGAGGACCTTGGGGGCTTGGAAGGCCCCACCCCCTGCAGAACCACACCCCAGAGGGCTTACCCCCAGGCCCACCCCCTCAGTCACCCTCTCTGGCCAAGTCTTCTTCAAGGGCTGACCCTTGGGCCGCACCCCAACCCATGCTGGGACTGACCCGATGCACGATGTTATTGGCATGGCAGAAGGAGACACCTTTAAGCAGCATCTGCAGGTAGCTCTTGACTTGTGCCTGAGCAAGTGGCCTCTGGGTGTGGCGCACCACCTCAGCCAGATCTGACAGCATGAACTCGAAGGCCAGCACAAAGCCTGACCCATGTGGAAATACGGCCTTCAGCTGCACCACCTGCAGACAGGGCATCCTGTCAGTCCCCAGACTCATGGCTCAGACTCTCCCTGGGACCCCCAGTCCTTGCCGCTGCAGAGGACGAAGCAGACAGAGGAGGTGATATAAGATCTGAACACGGAACCAAGAAGCTGGGTGCCCTCTTGTTGCTCCTGTCTCCTGAGAGAAAACAGGCCTCCACTCTAATACTCCACTCACACTCAGGGAAAAGGTCTAAGGAAGGCCACTTAGGGCAATGTCTGGTTCCCCCACCCAGCCCACAAACTAGAAAATCAACTAACTCACACACACACACACACACACACACACACACACACACACACACACACAGGAGCTCAAGTCTCCTCCCATTTCCTCTAGGGCCATTAAATCCCAGCACCAAGAAAAGGGACTGGTGATCACAACTGCCCAGCACTGTGACAGCTGGAGACACATCATATGTACTTTCGGAGGACCCATGGGGTCACAGGGTTTGGGCTGCACAGAAGTGAGCAAGAGCAAGGGTTGGTGGGTCCTAAAGGACCTTAAGGAGCTCAAAGTACAGGGAGACAGACTACTGACAAAGGATTGAACAAACCTACAGGGTACATCCAGGTTCTAATGAGGACAGAAGAGAAAGAATAGGGTGGCGCTGATTATACAGGGAGCTGAAAAGGAGCTCTGTGCATGGGGACAACAAGCACAAAATCCCGAGGCAAGAACAGAGAGGAGGCTGGAGGGATGGACATGTGCATGTGGAGTCATTTAGGGGAAGGCTGTCTGCTCTCTTCTGCACTCCAGAGCCTACACAGTGCCTACACAGTGGGAGAGACACTTAAGAAGTTGTGTTTGAATGAATGAAAAGAGGCTGGAGGTGGGCCGGAGCAGATGGTGACAATGCTCTCAGTGTGAAGACAGCCACTGGGAATGGACAACTTCATGTACATTTTTTTACTCTGGGCAGGGGCAGCAGTGGGAAGGCTGCTGTAGTTGTTCTGGTGAAAGGTGACAGTGGCCTGGAGCAGGGCGAAATCTGGAGTGTTTTAAAGATAGAACCTCAGGTCTGCTGATCCACAGGATGCAGGACCTCGTCACTAGCTTCCTTATGGGTCCTCCACCTCTGCCACACTGGGGCTATCAGCCAGCCCTTTTACTTTTCTCAAAAAACAAGTGATCTTATTGCTGGGCACTGGAAAAAGAGAGAAACTGGCCCTCGCCTGGCTCTTGAGAAGTTAAGTGTGGTGAGGGAGATGGACAGAAGCTACAGGGCCCAGCTGGTGTGGTTTGTGCTGTGGCAGGACTGGGAGGGGCTGTGGATCAGAATCAAAATTCTGATTTTGAAGCAAGTACACAATCAATTTACAGACCAAAACACACATACATTCAGATAATACACAAAATTATTTTTTTAAAAAACAACAAAAGTAAAATTCTACCACCTACTCAACCTTAGAGGATATTCCCCCAGACTTTACAACAGATATGGCACAAAGACACACATTCACAGATACATAATGTTTTCATACAAAACCAGGATGAAACAGTTTTAGAGCATGCCTTTGACACCCAATATATCATGGATATCTCCAGGGATTAAGGAACAAATCTGAGTATCTCTCACCTAAGGTCAACCCATCTTTGTCACTCCCCAAGGAATTTGAGCACATTCTCTACTCCTGACATGGACAAGAGAGAGAGCCATAGAAAGGATGAGGCTGGGGTATAATGTGTCCCTCTTTATGTGCCCACAGCCCCTCCCAGTCCTGCCACAGCACAAACCACACCAGCTGGGCCCTGTAGCTTCTGTCCATCTCCCTCACCACCCTCAACTTCTCAAGAGCCAGGCGAGGGCCAGTTTCTCTCTTTTGCCAGTGCCCAGCACAGGGTAGGGCCTACAGGAGGCCACAAGGTTAAAACATCCAGATCCCTCAATCAGACCTGGAACAAAACCGCCACAGACAACCTGAATGCCTATGAGCTGGGGGCTGGCCCTGCTCCCCTGGCCTGAGAGAGGGAGATTCTGAAACCTCCTTTGCAGAGTAGCAGAGAAAACTCAGGACAACGTAGGTAAAGCAGTTAGCCCACAGAACATAATAGGAGCTCAATAGGTGGCAGTTATCATTACCATTAGAAATCACTAAACAGTTTTAAGAAATAAGGCATAAGTTAGCAAATGAATGAATGAGTCCAGGAAGAAATAAGTGGCTGAACAAGAAAGTGAACGAGTGAGGAATGAAGTAATATGATGAATAAGTGAACAAGAAAGGGAGGAAGGGGTGGGGAGGCATGTGAGCGAGCAGAGTGGGTGTGGGCCCCCCCAGACTGGAAGTGAGTGGACAAGGGCGCGAGGAGTTTCCTCAGAACCCCAGCCTCACTCACATACTGATTGTCCTCGATCTCCTGCAGGGCCTTGATCTCCCGCAGGGCCTGGTTGGGGATGCCATCCTCCAGGCGCCGCAGGGCCACCTTCTTGAGGGCAACGATCTCTCCAGTCTGTGCAGGACAGAACGCAGACAGTGCTACCCCACCCCAGGCTGGGAAAGGTGTACGAGGGGATGAGAAACGCACCCTGAGTGGGATGCAGATGCCTGAGGCCCTCGTGAGGATGGAAAGTGCCCCCACCCCGTCCTGGAGGGAAATCACGGGCGGCCTGGGACCCAGAAGTCGCAGGGCTGGGCAAACAGCTCAGAAGCACCCGCTGCAGGCTCCTACGGGGCACACGTGGGACGCAGCTGGCCACAGCCTGGACACCCTCACCCCTTAAACGGGTTAAAGTGATGAGCATACACCACGAAGAGGAGGGAGGCCCGCGCAATGGCCCAAACCTGGGTTCGAAAAATGGGTACATCTCAGACAGAAATGAAGGCCCGGCAGGCTCCCGAGGGCAGGGCTCACCTCCACGTGCTTCGCCTTGAAGACAATGCCGTGCGCGCCCTCCCCGATGCGGCCCAGGATGCAGTACTGGTCCATCGCCCACCCCGCCTCCCGCGCCCGACGCGGCTGCCTAGCAACTGGGCGGCCTCCGAGCGTCGCGGGCCGGCAGCCAAGTGCAGCTGGGGACGGCGCGCGGACCTCGTCTGTGCCTTCCGCTGGGACCCCGCCACCACGCCGCACGGCGCTTCATTTGGCAGCAGTCACCGCGAGGAGACAAAGCCCGCTC